TGGACAGGCACCCAGCACAGATTCAAATGCCTCTCAGCCCATTAGCAGAGTACTTACAGCCGGCAGCATGTGTTTCTACTGGTGGTGCACACCCCGCACTGGCCTCAGCGCACACAATTTATTCTGCACGTGGATGGAAAAAGCAGGAACGCTGCCCACAAACCCCACATGCAACCACGCATTTGCAAGCAGCAGTCACAGCAGTGACTCAGCGCTTTGTGAATAACCCTCACACGCCCATGCTGGAACAGCTCGGATCCTGTTGATGCACGGGAAACCTGTGCGTTGTCGCCCAGTGAAACTTGGCTGTCAGTAAAATGGAACCCGTGACTCAGCTCCCAGCCCCCTGCGTTCCCGCCTCAAACCCTTTGTTACAGGCACCCTGGAGCACCAGGGCTGCCAAGTGAAGATCGGCAAAAAGCAGAAGTTAAGAGAGGAAGAGCAGGGTGGGGTTAGCAGCCAGACCCAGACACCTCGCTCCAAACACCAGCAGTTGCCCTCTGGAGTCTGGCGAGCTGTGGACTGTAGCTTGTGCTGAGTGCTGGGGGTCCCAGAAAGGGGGGGGGGAGTGGTGAAGCCACATGGAGGAGGGGTTAAAAGGGGGAAACAGGAAGGACTGTCCACTAGTGAGGACACTAGACTAATACTTGGGCGACCCAGCATCAACTCCCCACTCGTCTGGGCCTGGGTTCATGGTCGTCCTCAGCCAGCAACACGCCACGTCCTGGGTAACTTTCCACAGAGCCGACCGATTGCCACGGATTCACACCAGGCCCAGCTCCCAGCTGTCAAGAGCTCCAAACAGAAGGGTGGAACTTTCAAAAGGCTGGCTGGGAAAAGTACCTGGAAGCGCTGGAGCCTGCACACACGCCAGTGGACTTAGTCCTGGTGAAATGGAGCAGGCAGCCCTCCCGACTCACCGCCTCCTATTTACTGAGGCCCACCAGCAAGGCACATCCACTCCTGTTGTCTGGGCCTGGGACCCACTCAATCCTGGGGCTCGGACTTCTACCAGAGCCCCAGGGAGCCAACAGCCTCACCAGGCCCGTGCTCAGGAGGGGCAGGGCTGGTGTTTTATATAGTTGGGATTGTTTTCCAGGGCATTACTTAACTCTGATCAATAGCGAATGTTGCCTAGTCAGCCAGTCCTGGGAGACGGCTTCATAACGCATTGCAGGCAGCTTGGTCTGAACAGGCTCGCCTGACTGTGTAGCTGTTGCATTTTGCCATCTCACCGTTCGTCCCCTTTCGAGAGCTAGGAATATGTTGAGCAATAGAGGGCCCAGTCTTGGGGGGCCTCCCCCCTCTCCATTGTGAAAACTATCCATCCAGGTGGAACCGCCCTCTCTGGAGAGATTTCAGAGCAGGTTGAACAGGCATCTATCAGGGATGCTCTAGAGCAGGGCTACGCAACCTTGGAAGCTCTGGGGGGCCACAATGAAACTCACAGCACATGCCGGGGGCCGCAACATAAGTGTGCTTGCATAGACATGCAAAAATATAGATGCAAATAGCTTCTTTCACACTGCCGGGCGTGAATACAAGTACTCACAGCACGTGCCGGGGGCCGCAACGTAAGTGTGCTTGCATAGACATGCAAATAGCTTCTTTCACACTGCCGGGCATGAATACAAGGATTAAGGCAAAACTACACAACACGCAGTTCTGCTGCTATTTACCGGATTTCCACCCCGACAGCACTTTTAACGAGCAATGACAGTCCAGGAATTTTACTGCAGAAAACCATTCTATGGACTCGCCCTTATGGAGGGGTTCCCAGTGGAGGCCATGTTCAAAGGATTCCACCCGCGGGCTGCACGTTTAGCCCCCCCGTAAACCCAAACTGCACCATGCGCCACAAACAGGTTGAGTAGCCCTGGTCTAGACGGTGCTTGGTCCTGCTGTGAGGGGACTGGACTTGACCTCTCAAGGTCCCTTCCAGTTCCAGGGAAGAGAAAAGTGTAGGAATCCTATTTTAAACCAGTTAGTGATCCACGAGAGGAGCTGTCCTCTTCTGCCATGACTGCTGAAGGGACAGGAGCAGAGAACAGGCAAGGGGTTGGATCTCTTGCTGTTCACCTGTACTGCTCATTCCCTCTGAAGCACCTGGCATTGATCACAGCTGGAAGACAGGCTCCTGGGCTAGCTAGTCCATGTTGGTGTTCCTAGGAGGAGGAAGCTGGTCAAGGTTTTCTGAAAGCCCAGATGCAGCACTGTATGAGTGGCAGACAGCCTGTGACCTGAGGGCCACAGGTGGCCCGGCCGGTTCTACATGCGACCTGCAAGACATGTTGTTTACCATTGCTCATGTACAGGCTCCCAGACCCTGCTGGTTTCTGGCACCACAGTGTTTTTTCCTACCCATATTACTAAAGTGACAGAGCATAAAGCAAGGACGCACAAAGTGAGGTGTGTGCGGATTGTACGCAACACTGGTGTTCCCCCTGCATCCAATCAAAGCTTTGCTACTGTTCAGTCGGCACACACTGCAAATTGTAGGGACGCAAGCAGAGTTAGCTGTCCCAGAAGACCCACTCGCTAGCCGAGGATGCCCATTGTCAAGCGTCCTGATTGCACTCACCCAAAGAATTCCAGGAGATTGGGGAGCTGACTTCTCTAATTTAGTGCATTCAACATGGCCTGAGGATTCAGTTCTTCACGCCAGTTCCAACCAACGTGCCTGGTACTGAAGTTAGATTTACCAGCTTGTAATCGCGAGGATGGCTCTTGGAGCATTTTAAAAAAATCCGCATTGTCTATCCTCTAGCTGTCCCATGCGACACAGCTACACCCACAGAGCCTGTACCGAGGCCGCCAGGCTCCAGAAGAGGCCTTGTGTGTGGAAGTGGCTTTCTTACACACTGCATCTCCACCAGGGCCTCTGCAGTCAGAGCTGAGTCAACACCACTCTGTGGCACAGGCTCTGTAGTGTCGAGTAGGGCTGTTAAACAGTGAACTGGGAAGCAGGAGGCTTATTGGTATGCTTGCCAGTTAGTCAGCCCTTGGCAGCCAGCTGCACTGGGCTGGAGCAATCTCCAGCATAGAGGGGCTGGCAGCTAGGCAGTGGGACCTCACTGCTGCGATGGACGGGGAAGCGGGCCGGGCAGTGGGCCCGGAGTTACACAGTGAAGTGTTTTAACATCCTTAGTTGTTGAAGTGCAGAGATAGCCGGCCAGCCCGCCCAGCAGCCTGAGAGCCCCATGGCCACGATCCTGCTAGGGAGATGGGCGAAGGCCTTGGCCCTGCATGGGCGCAGTGCTAGGGGATCTAGTCTGTTCTTATCATTGTGGGCCAGACCATGCAGTCACCAGACAGCAGGAACCTGCTTAGTGGCTGCTCTGTGTCCCCCCCACACCCTAACGCCTTCTCTCATTCACTCAGGGCAGAGGGCACCATGCGCTGCAGAGAAGCCCCTTCCCCTGTCACAGTCACCAAAGGGGTAAAGATAAACACAGTGCTCAAGGCCCACAGGCAAATCACCAAAGCTCAGCAGCAGATTCCCAGAGTGCGCGGCAGCAGCACACCCTAGTGGCCACGTGGCACACAGCCAGTCCCTTAAAGTACTTTATTAAATACTTTGCAAAAAAAAACCAGAAGCAAAAAGATTGGAAATTAACCCCCCTCCCACCCAGTTAAGAACTAACACCCCCCCCTTGCCTGCAGCCTGGATGTTCTGCCCTGGAACACTTCTCCCCACCCCTGCTAGCTTCACACAATGCTCTGCTGCCCAAAGCGTGGCAACTGGCAGAGAGAGGCTCCGCAGAGCGGCAGAAAGGCCCTAGAGTAAGTGAGCTAGGGAACTAGACTAATGCTGGCTTGGCAGCTTGCTAAGCCCACTGCCCTCAGATGACCCGGATTGGTTCTGCAGAGCCGCACCTGCATGGAAAAGCTGAAACTAACAACGAAGCACAGGGGAGGGACTGGTGACCACTCTGATCAATCCCATATCGATTAATTCATCACCAGCTGCAAACTAGCCGTAAGCACACGCATTCCCCAATCTCGCCACCTCTCCCCAACCTCCCAGAAACCTTTAAGACAAAGAGACCCCCTCCAAGCCCCACACATGATTTGCCAGGTTGTCTGTGGCTGTCTCCTTAGTGTAACCAGGCTTGCTGGGTTCCCAGCTCAAGGTGGATTTGTAAACACTCTGCATCTCACCCCCCCTCCCCCCGAAGTTTATAAAACAGGGTTTTTACAAAGACAGTTGTGGTTTTTCCTTTACAGCAGAACAGTCTCCCTGTGAGGTAGAGAGTTAATTTCAGGGCTGACAGATCCTAAATTCAAGCCAGTTTGTGTCCTAGTTGAGGTAAAATTCAATAGTTTATGATAAGTTTTGCAATTGCCAGAAGGGCGTCAGGATTCCTCGTTGCCAGAATCATCCTCATCGCCATAGCAACTGTCTGCCTCCTCCTCCATCTCATCATCCTCGTAGTAGTCGTCGTAGAAGAGGTCTGAGCCTTCATCTGGGGTGGGAGTCTTGGTCTTCACACAGTACTCGGCCAGCGTGGTGGGGACCTTCACACCATCCCGCTCAGCATCCACCTTGGTGCCCAGGACCTGCTTCCTGAAAGGGGCAAGGAGCAGATGAGAACATAGCAAAGACATGGAGCAGTTACTCACTCAAGGTGGCAGGCCAAGAAGTGCCAGTCCACTAGCCCTGCAGGCTAACGTCCATGGTTCACTCGTTCTGCCAACGGGCACTGATGCACACCCACAACTCTAGGGATCAGAAAGCACATTGGGTTCTATGCTCTACAAAGGCACGAGATGGGCGTGGAGAGGCCCAGGAGTCATTTGCTGCTCTGTCAGCAGCTCGTCAGGCCTGGCATTCGTATTACCCCTAACACACGGTTGTCACAATCAGCACCTGAACTGTCTCCTGTAAGATATCGTTCGAAAGCTAGTCGCTCACTGATCATTACTCTTCCGCGGTGTATGTACAGGGTCCATGCAAAGCCACAAACAGGTCACAGAAGGAGGATTGGCAAGCTCTACATAAGCCAACTGCCTTTGCCAAAGGAACTGTTTTTGTTCATCTGACCAGCCTAGTGTTCAGGCAAAGGCAATAGAGGTACATTTACATAAAAGGTCAAGCTCCACCCTGAATGATAAGTAAATCAGTTGATTTAATTACAAGACACTTCTATTGTCTACAAAACATAGCAAAGTCTTACGAAAGCTAATGACTGGCGATGTCACGGTGAACTCTATGAGGTAACACTGAGTAAATATCAATACAAAATAATATCACACCTTAAAAACTGGCCAAACAGAGGAAGAAAGATTTTCCCTCTCCACATGCCTGAGGGAAGACAGCTACTTACCAGTCTCTACTGAAACTAAGCAAGGTGTGACCAACAACAGAGCAAGCCCAATTTACACATGAATCAGCAGGGAGATGGGAAGTCCACAGGCATGGAGTTTGGGAAAATACAAAGGAGAGAAGAAGCCATCTTAGCCCAAGGGGCCAGCCTAGAGCTCTTGCAATCTCCTCAAGATGGGTCTTTCAACCAGGGGGAAATGAAGTTGCTAGGAACTGAATCTAAGAAAGGAACCTGCTTAGGCAAAGATCTTTCTGCTAGGAACACAAGGGAAACCAGCATCTTGTATGTCTGGAAGAAATCCACCTGGAACCAAGACTGCTTTGTTAAGCCTTAGTCACTGTAAACGTTTTTCGTTTTTGCTTGTAACCGTTCTACAGCCCTGCACAGACACAAATGTCTACCAATGGATGTGGATATCCACAGACAGGAAACTGGTATCCACAGATCAGGCCTCTACTCTCAGGCGTGTAGTCTAGTGCCGCCACTCCCAGGAGCCAGTGCCCTGTGCCAGCAGCTCCTCCTGGCCATGCAGCTGTACCTCCCCAGCCCTACCACCAGTGGGGCAGTACAACCCCAGACAAGAGATGCAGCTCGGGGGTAAATACAGCCACAGGGCTGAGAGAAGCTGCCAGCACAGGGTGCTGGTTCCTGGAGCGGTGGCACTACATCCTTCACCTTTGGCTGAAAGTATCAGAGGGGTAGCCATGTTAGTCTGAATCTGCAAAAGCGACGAGGAGTCCTGTGGCACCTTATAGACTAACTGAAGTGTAGGAGCATAAGCTTTCGTGGGCAAAGACCCACTTCGTCAGATGCATCTGACTCCTCGTCGCTTTGGCTGAAGTGTCTCCAAGGAACAGGATCAGCGGATACCGATTTCTATCCCCATTTCCGGGTATATATATATTTGTATCTGCGCAGGGCTCTAACCATCTCTACCCTTTTACTTGGTGTCACTAAAGTCATGCCCCGTTAACAAACTCGTTTTGCTGTAATCTAAACCAGCCTAGTGCTGACTTTGGACAGACTCAGCACATGCTTGTCTGCTGCTCCAGCCAGCAGACAAGGGGGAAGACAGCAGCAGCGTGTTTCAAGGCTCCTGAGGTTGTAGGGCAGCGGTGACAAGCGCTCACTGCTCTGGGTCGCACTCTGAACATTCCAGTGGGGCACAGCGTGAAGTAGGGATGTTAAATATCGGTTAATTGAACAGCTGATTAACCTCATGAATTCTTATCAGTGAGTCAACTTTCTATAGGCAGCCCGTCTGGGGGGGGAGGGTTTGAGCCCCCGGACCCGGCAGGAGCAGAAACTGAGTCAGGCTGCCTGCCCACCTGGCTCCTAGTACACTTTAAATGCAGAGCCACATCGGAGGTAGGTCCAGGACCCAGTGCAAGTCGGGGCTGAGCTGGGCTGCTGGCCACCCTGCTAAAAAACTTACTGGCAAGTGGTGGGGAGGAAATGCATGTCATCTATAGCATTAACCTGTAAGCTTTTGCTTATCGGTTCATTGACTCCACTATTACATCCCTCGTGTGAAGGTGTCTGCCTGCCAAAACCAGACTCACTCGACATGTCACTGAGTGAGGCATTACCATCAGTACCATGGCAAGTCTCATGGTGTGAGGAGCCCAGAGCAGGCCTGCCTGTTTGCGCAGAGCTCTGATCCACATCTCTATCTAGTGTGGAAACAAAAACAGCCCAGCCCAGATACTAAGTGTGTGACTCAGATAAAATCTTTCCACTACCATCCTGCCCCTACCACCTCCAAGTTGAGAGCTCTTATTGGTGCTCCCCTAGCACCTTTCAGAGGCCAGCCTCACAACATCCCTCCCATTTTGACCTGAGGTACAGGGAAGGAGAAGAGACTTGCTACAGGCCTCATACTAAGTCAAAGGGCTGAGCAAGGCCTAGATCCTAGGCTTGCAGGGTTTAACGCAGTTTCTGCTCCAGACCAGCACCTCCCACCTGGCTAGGTCCTTTGTCATGCTTTTGCTAGGCTGCATGCAGGGCAGACTCTGCATCTGAGATCTCTGCATGCTTTCTTCTCTGCAAAACTTCTCATCTTCTGTTACCCCAACCTTGCTGGTAGCAGTGGGCTTTCATGATGTTAACCACAGCGTGCACTACAGCAGGACTATAGCAACAGTGGAACAAGAATCCCTCCTGCATTCAGCCACCTCACAGGTGTTCACCCCAAAATCTGTGCGGGGCCGCTTAGACTCCCAAATAAGGCAGTCTAAAAGCAAGATACTCCTGCCCCTCTTGCTCAAATGCAAGTTCTGACAAGCCACGCACCTGATGATGTCTGTGTACTCCCGATCCTTCCCTTTGCTGTCCTTCCATTTCCTGTACATCACAGAGGCATCCACGTTTGCTGGTGAGAAGGTGTTGGGCTCATTGAGCAGCGAGATCACGCTCAGAAGGATGGTCCTGAAAGAGTTAATAAGTGGTAAGAGCCAAGACAGGAGATTGGCTAACCTGCACCACCCAGATCTGACAGGGACTGGAAATCACAGTATCTTCTGCATGGCCAGGAGTTTAATAGAACACAGACAGTTTGCAAGAGCAGCAGCCACTTCCCTTGTGTATTACAACAGTGGACACATCCTAACTCCGGGTCAGGTCAGACACCATGGCCTTCATAAGCTGAAGGAGTAACTGAATACCAATCAGAAGCCAAGCTGGTCTCAAACCCTTTGCCAGCTTAGGCTGCCTTTCAACAGTGCTGGTATCCAGTCTGTAAGGAACTGATTTGCCTTTGAATTTCAAAAGAAATTAAGTCTAGGTATTTCCCACGACCTCTGGGATTAGGAGCACTTTTCCCAGCTGCTGCCTTTGGGCACCTCCTCCAACCTCTGCATCAGAGCATCTTGCCTCCAGCGCATGCCTCCCTTCCACACACAATCTTACCGTACATTCTGGGTTGGGTTCCATCGCTCGGAAGGTAGCTCCCCGCTCTGCGGGTCATCCACCGGAGGGTGAAGAATTGAAATACAGACATCACCAGTCTGAAAGCACAGAGAAAATCTGTTTGCACAGGCACTGATGTCCCAAATCCGAACACTGCAAACCATCTACAAGCTGTAGGATTTATTTTGCATGTTGTCCCTGATTGCTTGCCTCCCCCTTCTGCTCTTAGGGCTGTGAGGAAAATGCTACCCAGTGACTTGACAAATACCAGAGAACTGAGAGCAACCACTGTCACCAGTGCCCAGAGAATCAGCCATCCTATCTTCAGACCAATCTCCTGGCCTCCCGTAAGCCAGCAGCTCAGGCAGATTTCAGTTAGCCTGAAAGGCCTCACAGAGCAGCTGAACTGTACCGAGATGTGCCTGTAGTCTGAGCCAGTACAGATATGACACCGTGCAGAGAGTCTGTAGGGAGAAGTTCACTTCAGTCATCCTGGCTGTGATGATTTAAAGCACTGATCTAAATCACACCCACTGACCACCTGCCACCTGCCAGCCCTTAAAGCACTGGAGAGAGCCAGAGTTACTGCACACAGGTAGGGCAGGTAATGGATGGAATGCCCGTGAGTAATTTGTGCAAAACACTGATCTCCTGGGACACTTGTTGAGAAGCTTCCTGCCTGCATGGCCATATCCCCCAGGCTCTGAATGAGGCAAGTACACACAGAACACTGTGAACTCTAAATACTTTCTGCACTTAGCCACAGCAGTTGTCTGTCCATGGAGCTAACAAAGCATGATCACATTCCAGCCAGGTGCTGTGGGCAAACAAGACAAGCATCGGAGACAGCAAGATTGGACAGACTGACTACTTCTGGAACGGATTCCAAAAGAGGTGATCTGTCCGAGACAAGGACCAGCCTGAGCTGGCTGCTGTGTTTTCAGCACTCAACGAGATTGGTACAAAACACCCCAGGAGATCATTCGCTTAACCTCACCCCCCAATACAAGCCCCAGGACATCTCAATACAGGTTGGTGTTTGACACAGCATTGACGTCAATACTCAAAAGTCATCCAGAGGGCTTGGTGCCACTGCGGCAGCTAACTAGAAATCTAATCTGTCCTGGGGAGCACGAGAAGATACTCTGTGTGACGTACCTCATAGATGTTAGGGTGCCACATTTTGGTCAGGAACCTAAAGGCAGGAGGCGAATAGGGATAATCAATAGGAAACCGGAGGCGAGCCTGGGAAGAAACAAAGCATTCATTAGTAGCAGCTGTGGGGCGAGTGACAGACATGCTGATGCTTCTGGGGGAATTGAAGAACTCAAGTCAAGTCTGTACACAACACCAGATGAGTTGTGAGTACATGCAGCCCAGGTATGCCCCACTGGCGCTCTGCACACAGAGAGGAGACACATTCCTCCCCACTGCACCTCCAGCAAGTAGTGACTAAGAAGTGGGCTGTGCCCACAAAAGCGGATACCACCATCGACATGTTTTGTTAGTCTGGATACCACCGTCGACATGTTTTGTTAGTCTTAAAGTGCTACCAGACCATTTGTTGTTTTTTTAAGTTAAGCCTTGTCCAGTGGGAGCACCAGCACCATTTTGCACCGCGTAGCTAAATCCAAAGCTACCAGATTCTCTTTACTGAATCAGGGTGGGTGGGGGAGGAAGCATAGTTGAATGGTTAGAGCACAGGCACAGAAAATTAAAATACTATTCCGAGATGAGTCATAGCAAATCACTAGCTCTGCCTCTTTCCATACCTGTGAAAGGAGGATAATAGCTTCCCTGGGGAAGGGTGTATAATTGGAAGGATATGACCATGCTCATGAGACGCACTGGCAGACAGTGCTATGGAAGGTCAGGCAGAAACCAGCTCTTTCAACTGCCTCAGGTGTTAACAGACCCCAAGAAATCCCTCCCCTTGGAGCACTGCAGCTCAATCCCTGCAGCTTTGCATTGTTGGATGGAGCCAGGTAATCCCCTAGCAAGGGGAGCGCCTTGCTACTCAGCAATACTGGCTTCAATACAGTGATAAGGCCTCCATATACCCCCCATCCCACCACCAACCCCCCCTTCTCCCTCTTCAGGAGAGTTCAGCAGACTACCAGTTCCCTACCATTTCCCCACCACAGGTTTCCCTATGACACCTACTGTTTCCTCCCAGAAGAGGGATGAGTCACTGCTCAAGAGGCCAGCCAGGTATGAGGGAAAAAAAAACAAAACAAAACCAAACCACAAGACTCTTGTGGTGATGGAAAGAAATGCTAAGAAGGCCCCAGAAAATTGTGACCCTCCAGACAGTACTTTTGTCATTCAGGCATTAGGGGACTGCCCACAGATCAAATTTTCGCCTTCAATCTATGGAGGTGCGCCTTTGGACATCCACACAGCTTGGCAACTAGGTCAGGTTTGCTGGCAGTCACTGTGTTTACTGGAGACATTGCAAGTGGCAAACTTTATTCTTACGGTATTATAATAGCTTAAGGCAAGAACTTCAGGCTTTCTGCCTAACAAGTTCTTCAGGGTTAATTCCTTAGAGACCGGAAACAGCTAACATGGGTTGAGCCTCTCCCCTGCATCTAAAAAAATGGACTCGGTTTAGGTGAGAATTAGGGATGTAAAATCCTTTTTCACCAGTTAGCTGATTAAGCAGGCCAGTGTGGCTGAGGCTGCTCCAGCCAGGACGGGCCTGCTGCATCATGCTATGGGGGCTACTCCAGCTGGGTCCACTGCATCATGGGCAGGGAGCAGCTCCAGTGAGAATCTTCAACTCTGGACGTTGTTCCACAGACTGAAGTGAAGCCAGGTCAACGTGCAGACGAAGAAACAAACAAGAGATCAGCAGAACTGGCACAATAAAACCCAGAATGCCTTGTTCACGGTTGACAGGACTACAGACGTGGGTATAGAAGTTGCTTAGTTTCAAAAGATGATTTCAGTTTGGGGCCTAGACACTAATATAGTCAGGACTAGATAACAGCAAGCACAATTTAGACATTAGGAAAAGCTTACTAACTGTTGGGCAGGTTAAGCCCTGAAATAAACTGCCTAGGGAGGTTGTGGAATCTCCATCATTGGAGGTTTCTAAAAGCAGGTTAGACAGACACCTGTCAGGGACATTCTCATGGCAGGACTTGGTCCTGCCATGAGTCCAGAGAACTGGACTTGATAACCACTGGAGTTTTCTTCCTGTTCTATATTTAAAACAATACTATAAACCTAGACTCTGTCTAAAAGTTTCAACTGCTATCACTACAGGTGACAAGAGAACGGAACTAAGAGTAGAGAGCTTTGCTTACCCTTTGCAGAACGTCAAGAAACATTCTGCACTTTTAGAGCAATTCACATTACAGGCTTAAAAGCTCTTAATAAAGATTAAGTCTCTTGGCAAGCAGGTAAGTTTCACCATTTTACAGACATAACAGTCAAGGTTAAATAACTCGCCAAGTTAATGGATTGTGACAGGAACACAACTCAGGAATCCTGAACCCAGTCATGGTTTCCAACCACATTCCCTCCCAAATGCCAGTAACAGCATAAAGAAAAGATCTGAGGATATTACAGAATGGTGTTGAATAAACTGCTAATCCATGTCAGCAGCAGCTTTAGAAGATAAATGCAGAAGTCAGGGAGCCGGACAATTTAAGAGCTGCTTTGAAGTAAGATCTTAACTTGATTCAATCCTAGGAATATTGGCCCATCCTGGGACAGGTGCTCCCATAGTGTTGTTGTAGCTGTGTCAGTCCCAGGATCTTAGCGAGACCAGAAAGTATCTTTTATTGGACCAAGTTCTGTTGTTAATAGGGATGTTAAATATCGGTTAACTGAATAGTCAATTAACCTCATGAATTCTTATTGGTTACTCAACTACTCTATAGTCCCTGGGGGTGGGACTGGCAGACAGTGTGTTCCAGCCCCACTCCAGAGGAGCCTCCTGCTACTCTGTGCTGCGGCTGCTTCTGTATAAGACACAGCACCATGGGGCAACAAGCAGCCAGTCTTCTAGAGGAGCTGGTTTTTAAACTGCCTTCCCTCATGGATCAGCTCCTGCTTGGCACCCCATACTACTGCCTCTGCTATGGTGGCAGCAGCCCCTGTCCAGGGGGGATTCTGGACCCAGTGTGAGCCAAAACTGAGTCGGGGGAATGCCTGCCTTCCTGGCTCCTAATATATTTTTAATACAGAGCAGCAGAAGAGTAGGTCCCAGACTCAGTGCAAGCCGGGACTGAGCTGGGCTGCTGGCCAGCCTGCTAAATAATTTACTGGCAAGGTGGGGGAATGCATGTAGTCTATAGCATTAACCAATAAGTTTTTGCTATCGGTTAATCAGCTATACTATTACATCCCTAGTTGGTATCAGAAAGAAGCTTTGAGCTTTAACAGAGCTCAGGTCTGGGAAACTTTGTCACAGATAAATATAAAAGACATAACAGATTGTTTAGCATAAGTAGTTAACACATTTCAAAGGACTATTCAGGGTGGAGTAGCCCATTAACCTCTATCTAGTAATAAGATTCAGAAGGGTAGCCAAGTTAGTCTAACTAGAAAAACTTAGATAGTCTAGTAGCACCTTAAAGACTAACAAAACACATAGATGGTATCACGAGCTTTTGTGGGTATAACCTACTTCTTCAGATGACATCTACATGTTTTGTTAGTCTTTAAGGTGCTAATCTGAAGAAATGGGTTGTAAGCACGAAGGCTCATGATACCATCAACATGTTTTGTTAGTCTTTAAGGTGTTACTAGACTATTAATTGTTTACGTTTTTCTAGTAATATCCGAAAGGCATGGGGGGAAGCAGTGGTGGAGAGGGGGTTGTTGGGGATTATAGATTGTTGATCCATGCTCCTTGCACCCCCCCCCCCCCCAGAAAAATAGATGAATGAAACATACTGGCCTTAGATACCATGTTACACTTGAACACAATCAGCTAAACCTCATAGGACATTCTGAAATTAATGCTACTGCTCCCAATCCAAATGATTAACATGAAACAAACAAACAAACCCCCAACAGCCTTAGCTCCACTAGGGATGTTAAGGACTAGCTGACTATCCGATAAGTATTTGCTTATTGGATAGTCAACAGGATAGTTGACTAGTTGCTTCCTCACCACTTGCTGCCGCTGTCAGATAGAGGTAGCAGGGGCGGGGGGGGGGGGAAGGGTCCTGGACTCCATGTGGCACTGCTGCTTTGAAATGCTGCAGCAGTGTTTCAAAGCAGCAGCACTGCATGGAGCCCGGGGTCAGCTGGGGAGTCCCCAGTTGATCCCAGGCTCCATGCGGCGCTTCCCCTTTGAAACACCGTGGCGGTGTTACAAAGGGGGCAGTGCCACCCTATTGACTAAACAGTCGATGCAAAAATGCATTGACTATTCAATTAGCCAGTTACATGATATTTAACATCCTTAAGCTCCACTGTGATAGTGCTCAGACAAAAACAGCTCAAAGCACTACATTCAAGTGAGCAGTTCTAACATGTCTGCACAAAATCATCACCTCATACCAAAGCTGGTTTTGAAACCCAAACATCTGTTAGGTCTATTGGTCAAAGCTGAAGCTAGAAGAGCTGAGTTTTAGCATAACTATCAGACTTCCTGTGTGACTATAAGCAACTTGCTCAACCTATGTGCCTCAGTCCTAATCTACAAAATGGGACAGGGCCATAGCTGTCTGTAAGCTTGCAGATCCTCAGCTGTTGTGGAGAATTGGAACTTTGTGGCTAATGCAGGTTGACTTAATCCCTAAGAATAGCCGGTCCCCACTGAGAAAGTCCAAGCAAAAAACTGGCAAAGGTGCATACTTCAGATGCTAAATATAAATCCTTATGAATTTTGTACATCAGTCCAGCTCTCTAGCAAACTGAACCATCACAATGGGGTCCCGCTTGTAGGCAGAAGCAACAGGGAATCCAAGGATTCAAGTGGACCAGAGACAGGCTTTCACTCAGCTTTCTGATTCGAGGTGAAATCACATGCAGAGTGGTGTGTGGGAAGCCAAGCTGTACCTTTCCTTGCAGAGCCAGAACTCCCATCTGTCAGCATGCAGACCTTCTGTGTACATTAAAGCCATACAGAAAGATGCACAGCTTCAGCAATGTCACTGTACACGTGGGGGTGATACCCTCGCCCTGTGGAGGTTTCCAGAGGCAGGTAGAGGAATGCTAGCACTCCACTCTTGGAAAGGACAGCACAACCACCACAGAAGAAATGGTAAGATTAAGGGTTGCAGCAGACTCTCTGGGGTCCTGGTAAAGCTTGTAAAGTGACCTTTAACAAGCTTTAATGTCAACTAAAATGCTTCTGGCTCCATCAAATAATCCTGTTTCACTGCATGGCATATTCTCACCCCACCCTACCTCGGTGGTTCCAGACCCACAATCCCAACACAGAACCCATTCAGGAAAGCAATCACAGATGAGGTTTAGGACCCTTCTGTAATTACAAACACCACAGGATGCTGCCTTGCTGGGCCATGGGTAACAGCTATTAAAAGATTAGTGTAAAACAGACACATCTGCTTTGCTGCACTGAATTCAGACAAGCTTCCTGTCTCACCCTTCCCAAAATGGGCCTGAATTTGAGCTACAGTTTAATGTCTTCCTCTTCCATTACCCACCACTGTTCTCTGCCAAAGTCAATCCTCAGTCACAAATTTGGTCTTGGGTCAAAGACCTCTGCACAACCACGAGGAAGGGGGATTATTCCCAGGTCTACTGTCCCTTTAAATATGGTACCAACTTGACCTTCATCACAGCTCTTTGTTTGACTATCCTTTTTTGCTTCTCCAGAAAATGAGGGATGAAAATAAGAAGTTGGGGGCTTACAAACAAGATCCCCCCCCGGCTGGCTATTCCCCTCCCCACAGACAGACAAGGCCACGCAGCAAGCTCTGGTCTGGAATAATCCCCTTTATTGTGCTAGAGAGGATCAGAACAAAACCTTCCAGAGACAGAAAGTTCACAAGGGGATCCTTGAAAACAACACTGCTTTGCTAAGAACCATGCACTGTGACATTTACACAAGTTCAAGGAGAAGTTGTCCCTCCCCACACACATGTATCAAAGTGTTGGTCTAGAAGACTCATGTAAAAAGGGGAAGACAAAAGCTGTTGAGGGGATACATGTAAGAACTGTGTTTCCTAGGAGAGACATCAGTCTCTCACACTGACAACCTGGGTACAGAAAGACAAGTCCCACCCCAGCATGAAAGACCAGGTCAGGGAGAAGACTCATCAACAGTTTAGATTGCACATCTGGTATTGCAGTGGCAGATCTGCCTGCTCAGGTACAGGGCAGAGGAGCCTGTCTGGTTCTTGGGCACAGCAGACCTTAGGCTGACTCACTCCTTGGGCTCTTTTCCACCAAGCCATGCCCAGAATTGAGAGAAGGGGGAAGGAAGGAAGGAATCGGAGCAGTTCCCAAATTTCAAAACAGACTCAATATTTATATGCACACCTGAACACGGCACCCAACATACACACTCAGCATAAACCTCCCCATAATGACATCCCCTCCTCCCCCTGGGAGAAGGACCTACATCTATCACCAAGGGCTCGCTAGGCTGAACAACTCTTCTCCACAGAGAGAGCCGGAGTCCTTTGCCTACATCTTGGAGAAGGGCTGTAGGGGCCGTGACATCGCTAGGAGACCCCAGCAACCCTCCAAACACAGAAGGGAAAGCAGCTTCCAGGGGGCACTTAAGGGGCTTCTTCCAATGGCGTCTCCTCTAGCCAGGGAGCAGGTGGGGAGCAGCCTCCAGAGCTACTGGGAATTAAGACCCAGCCCAGCAGAAATGACAGGGAAAGCGACACCCAGCCAAACTGGATCCCTCAGCCCCCCCCAGCTCACTGGCA